ACAGTCAAAGAGTATTAATTTAATAAATATGTATATTTACTAATCAATGCACATACTAATTTGATAAGTCAATGTATTTACAAGCAATGAAATTTAAATTTTTTTATTAGTAGCTGCATCCATTTTCACATTTGATATGAGTAAAAGTTGCACAAGCAAAAATACATCAATTTAAACGAACCTTTTGATAGCAAATGTGCACACTGTACACTGTGGTGGCTGCAGTTATATACATGCTTTGTATATATGCTTTATATACATGGTCACATGCATTTTATGTATTAAATATTTTACTAAAGGGATAAGTCTACAATATACTGAAATTAATGCTTTGCAACAAAGACACAGTATAACACAGTAAATCATTACATCCTTGTTTGCCAACATTAAACAAAGCTATAACATATTAACTGTGTACATTATGATATTGCCAGTAATAAACATTTATTCATATTTTTTTTTTAATCATAGTGCATTTTAATATATAAGGGGTGGGAAAGCTCCGATTGCACACATTGCATGTTGCACATCGCTAATTGGCCAATTTAAAAATAAAATATTCTCATTGGTAAAACAGTGATGAAAAATTACTAGACAACCAACTGATATGAGTGATGTGTGCAATCGGGATTGTAGTGTGCAAATGGGATCCTCTCCGTTCCGATATTCACTGCCAATACTGAAATTATTCAGTATACATTACGTGCGCTATAGATTTTCAGCACTGACAAGTAATGAGAAAGTACAAAAATGAAAACTACCTCCTTGCCTTTTTTGCGATTTTCTTCAAAATGAAGCAAAAACAAGCATATCTCTACAGGACTTTTTTTCTTAGTTTATCGATCCTCTACACACTCCCGAAATTTAAACATTTAAATTCGGGACACTATATATTTGATATTTGACGAAAGCGAGAATTTAATGCCCGTAGTCAGACTTTGTACTTAAGGCTTCCTTAAATTTATCTTTAGATGCTCAGTAGCCAATGAAATAATTCGTAGAATATCTAGAAGGAAACCTTAAATAAAAGGCCTAACTATGAATACGGGCATTAGTGTAGTCTAGTGTAGGAATAAAAAACAGACCTCTAATTTCTTAATGTTTTTCTCAATTAAAAGTTATTATTATGATAGACAGGGGAAGAACTCCTCCCATAGATCTGTTCTTTTTAACTGAATTTTTACATCATTTTTTCATCTTTCTTCCTTTTCTCTCCAGGAGGAAAGAAGAGGAGGAAAAATGAACTGTGCAAAAGTTCATTTAAAAAGAATAGGCCTCAAATTTCGTAATCTCAACAGTAGAAAACTCTTTTAAAATTAACATTTTCGTTCAAGGGGCAAAACAATGCTTTCTTCTGTCAGATTTGTTTCGGACAAAAACGGATCAAATAAATATAATTTCATCGATTTTTTAACTAACATGGCTAATGGTTATTTTACAATGTGCTTTTTGCTTTTTGCTATTTTTTATCTTGTCTTTTATGTCTTATCCAATTTTTTGTTTTATGTCGCTCGAGATAAAGATTAACGAATTTTGGAAGAAACACGTAGCAAGAAATACAATTATCGATAAGATAGTTGCAAAGAGAAAAAAAAGCAAGAAACAGGAAACAAAGAACACATTGTTGTATAATAGGCTTTAACGGAATAATAACCTGAACTAATAGGTGAGTAATTATTTAGAATACGAGCCTCACATCTGATTTCGAAATTAGGCTCATTCAATGCATTTTTGCATGAAACGAAAAAATATGGAAGAAAAAAAAAACGTTAGATCATCGGCTCCGCGAACGAGATATTAAGCGTTAAAGTTGACAATTAAGTTAGAAAAGGATAGAGAATCTATCATAGTGACGAAATAAAGCGACAAAATCAAACATAAACATAAAATCTCTACTTTAAGGACAAAAATTATTTTCAAATTATTTTCTTATATAATTTTTGTATTAAAACAGAGATTTTGTATTTGACTTCGTCCTTCCCTATATTTCGTCGAACGACAGATTCTTTAACCTAAATAGTCATCAATTTTGATGCTTAATAGCTTAGTTCAAGAGGTCGACCCAACATTTTTTCCAGTTTTTTTCGTTTCGTGCAAAAATGCGTCGAATGAGTCCAATTTCATCGGGGGGGGGGATAAGGCCCGCATTTTAAATAATTACCAGTAAATGTATAAATTTATTAAATTTTGCACTATGACTGTGATATATACAACGCTTTTAAATTATACAAAGTACACTCACAAAGGCATATATATTTCCTTCGTTATCTTTACGTTCCAACATTTTTAAGAATATCTTATTGTTAACACAACAAAGCCACATACAAATAACAATTAATACATAGACACCATCAGCAGCTCACAGTTCACAACGCTACTAACGCTATTGTACCGTATGCATGGCTGTATACTTGGTGGAAAGGATAAGCCTTAAATCCAATGCGAAGAAATAGCAATAGCGATAGGAATAATACAATTTCAACCTATCAGAAATCAGATACACTGGAATATACCCTTTCTGATAGATTGAAATTTTCCTTCGCAATACATTTAAGGCTATAATGGGCAATAATGGGCTACGTTCGAAAATATCACCCGAGTGCCTCCATTTATCGTTTTATCATAAGTTGTGTTCCAAAATTTACTGCCAGTACTGAAAATCTATAGTTTACGTCACGTCCACTATTTTCAATAATGGCAATAAATTTTGAAACACAGCTCTTGTATTTACCCAATAGCTATGGTCCACTTGATACTACAAATGCTTCGAAGCATTTAATTGATCAATCGAAAGAAAGAATTTTACTAATTGATTATTCAAAAAACGCTTCGAAGCATTTATAACGTAAAATGGACTGTACCCAATATTAAATAAGGATAAGATAATACCATAATATGTATACCTACAATAATAGCGTTTTCGACTCGACCGAATTTGCACTAACCTGTGTTGAAGTAATGATGTTTCGTACTCTCCTATTGGTAGAGCGTGTAACGTCAACCAATAGCGAAGCATTTTCTAATTCAAGTTTGGTGCAAACCTGGTCGGGCCGAAAACGCTGTAAGAGTACGGACAATAAGGTGATCGATCGGTGATTGGTCCTCTAAATTGAGGCAAAATTAGAAGTTGCATACCTGTTGAAGAAGTTGTATTATAAGTGTACACCATTTACACTGCCATTTATATTTCCAGCGATTTCTGCATCAGAATTATTATTGGCTCATGCAACGTTTGCTGCGCGACGAAAGTTGGCGCAATAGTCAATCAACGTCTCGCTTGCTCAAAAGTAATAGATATATAATTTCCACTCAATCAAACTTGAACTCAATCCAACTTTTGCCGTGCGGTGGAAGTAGTATTATCATCATTTCTAGAGCATCATTTTGCAAAGTGGGATCGACTTGAGAACATAGAAATAGATTAGTGCAACAATTTCCGCTGCGCGGCAAACGTTGCCGCGTTCTGTAAGCAGGAGTCATGTGTGCAGGAGCCATTTAGGGTGCCATTCCATATACATGGAATCGGAACGATAGAACGGATTTCTTACTTAAGTATATTCTACAATATTCGTAAGCGTAGTTATAAGTGGTTGTAGTTGTAAGAATTGACCAATCAAAAAATATGAAAAGAATATTTGACTGTGATTGGTCAATTCTAGTAGGTAGATTAGGCTTAAGGCCTCGTCTATAATCAAGTCGGCTGACTCTTATCGTTAGTCATAAAAGATGGGACCTGACCAATCCAAACGACGTCTAGCAGCCGACACGAAAAATGAAAGTTATGTGCACAACATATGACAATGTCTTCCGACTGATTGTAGACCAAGTCTTAGAAATGAGTTCACTAGCATTTTCGTAAGAAGTTTTTCTACTGTTATTGGAACCACCGGAATCATGGTATAGAGACGATGCGGAATCAAGGGAATGTCATATCGATTGCAGGCTATGTCGATCCAATTATTGTTGATGGTTGAGAATTTGACAACTTCGAAGAAGAAAATTAATAATAATTTTTATTTTTCAATACGACATACTCTCGTTTTATAGATATAATCCAAGTTTTATAGATGTAATCCAACTAATGCCAGCAGTTTTTTAAATAATTCCGATGTCATTCTGAAATAATTGAAGAACTTCTCATGATCGGTCGTTTATATTCCAACGATTAAATTATCACTTACGCTTTGGAAACGCCTCATTCTTTGTGTAAACATTGACTGTATCCAGAATTTTCGTTTTTTTGTACATTTCTGCTGTTGCAATAGAATGTTATAAATGAAATAAAATTTTCGCACTTTTAAATACTGGAATAATAGATCGATTTGGCATATTTCTTGTTTTTCGTAATAATTTTAACATTAGTAATTCTTACACTAATTCTTTATCCATTGTTGTAGATTTACAAAAGAATTTAGATTTACATTCTGAATATTCGTTCCAATTTTTAGATTGAACCAACTCAACTGAACATGCTATTCCGTTCCATAAAAATTTTCTCTATATCCGGTCTCATATATCCGGAACACAATGGAATTTTGGTAACAAAATATATCTTACTCTTATAATTCATTTTTGAGTATTCAAAATAATGTTATGGGTAAGATAATTGCACAAATTATATTACTGCTTTAGTCGCATTAAAATTATGAAATATCGATTAAATCAAGCAAATTAACTTGCGATTGAAGTTACATTCCGTTTTCATTCCGTTCCGACATGGGAAGGGTAGAGCAACTTCTTAAGCTGGAATCAAATTATGCATTGAAGATTGAGATTAAAAATTGAAATTTTACTAAAGAAAAAGAAATTTTTGCTCCTTTTGTTCTGATTGATCAAACTTCAATCTTTTAATTTTCTATCTCATTCTTCAATGCGTAGTCTGATTTCGGGACGGAATTTTAATGATCTCGAATTTTCTAGTAAGGAGCTCCGCATAAAAGAAATTTTGTCGTCGTGATTCCACAAGTTCCGTTCCGTTGTCAATTTCCGTTCCATGGCCGCCGGCTTTGGGTGCCATGTAAATGTAATCATGGAAAATTTCGCGGAAGATGTAGCTCGACTTTGTATAGAGAAATATAATTTTCTAAAAAAAACTAGTAAACCTAATGCTCATGAATGGACTGTGTTATCTGGCATTGTTTTAAAAAACGCTGACAGTTCAATGTCTGTGGTGGCACTTGCTACTGGGACGAAATGTTTAGGAGATTCAGAATTGTCAAAAGATTCTCGAGAAGAAAAAGGTTCTCGATTAAGTGATTCACACGCGGAGGTTTTAAGTAGGCGTGCGTTTATACGTTACTTATACGATCAGATCGATTTGACTTTGAGTGACTCTGGGAGTGCAATTTTTTCACGGAATGACAAAAATAAAATAGAATTAAATAGTAATATATCATTTCATTTTTTTTCAAGTCAAACACCATGTGGGGATTGTTCTATTTTTCCTAAATTGGAAACAAATGGTCTGTCTCCATGTAAGATTAGTATCAACAAAGATGCTAATGGACATGTCATCATAGAATCATATAAAGATGTACATAGAACAGGAGCTAAATGTGTGAAAGGAGAAGGAGCACAAGATCCTCATTTGCCTGGTGCAGATTATCATATTGTGGGGCCTTTGCGTACCAAACCAGGTAGAGGAGATCCCACGAGTAGTTTATCTTGTTCAGATAAGATAGCAAAGTAAGTTTGAAAATCATATCTATAAACAGACATTGACAGAGTATATTTATAAATCGATAATATTTTTGTTCAAGATGGCTCATTCTTGGATTACAAGGATCACTCTTATCATTATTAATATCTCCAATAAAGCTGGAAAGTATCACAATTGGAGGCGATTCTCCATTTTCTTTGGACGCCATGGAACGTGGACTATATAAGAGATTTAATAATAAGTTGGTCAGAGTCAACATTTTTCAAGCAAAAACTGTCTTTATGCACAAGAAAGGACAGCAAAGATCATATCCCTGTCCAATAAGCATTATATGGTGTGCTGTAAGGAACAGGTATCGATAATATTTCTAATACGAATCAATTTACATCGACATCATTCGATTATTTTTTATGTAATAAAATTAGATTTTGTATACAGTGCATTAGAAATAGCAGTTGCAGGCAGAAAGCAAGGGATAACAAAAAAGAGAAAAGGCAATAATTTACTTATAACTAGACGAATGCTTTTGCAAAATTTTTTGCAAATTTTTGATAAATATCAGAATTACTACAGTGAGATAAGACATCCAAAAAAGATTACGTATTATGATTGGAAGCAATGGTCAATAATTTATCAAAATGAATGGAAACAATTAAAACGTGAATTATTTCATAATTGGCCATGTAAACCAATGCATTTGCAAAATTTTGCATTATAAAATTGTGTATAAATAGACACAATATGTCTTTTAAAGTTATATTTTTTAAGTTGTACATGAAATTAAAAAAATTCCATTATCATTATCCATATTATTATCCATATTAAAAAATTCCATTATCATTATCATAATTCCATATATCATTGATTGTAAAAAAGGGGATGTGTGTGTGTGTGTGTGTGTAACTTATTTGCAATAACAATATTTACAACATTACAGAGTTCGTTTACTTATATTAGTATAACCTATACCTAAACAAGTTAAACGTACTTGTGATAATGTTGCATTTTCTCCTTCTTTAATTTGTTCTATCTTGAAGGTAACTCCAAAAAAATCCCGTAAATCGCGTAGAAATTGTATCCTGAAAATAATCCACAAATAACACACAACTATGTTTCTTTTCTTTATATTGTATGTAATATATATGAAAAAAAAAAAATTTTATATATCTCAGACTTGACGCATTGCTTATAGCAGAAATCCTCATTTTGAAACAAAAATTCTAATCCCAAAATGTTAAAGCAATAATAATTTTTTAATTATAATCATTTAAAGCTAGCAAATTATATCATCTAAAATCTGCACATTCAAATATGGTACAACGCAAAGTACTAAAAGCAAAAGCTAACAATTTGCCTTTTGTTAATATCGATATAAATATTATGTAGGCAAAGATAAAATTATATCTATTATGTTAAAAAAATATTTAGCTTGAACATTATATTAGAATTTTTGTCTTAAAA